GGCCGTACTAGACTAGACTAGACTAATTTCCAACCCTGCCTCCAGCGACATCCTGCTGGCAATCACTTGGGGCGGGGGCAACCCCACCCGATCAACAAGTGTTTCCAGCTTCCTGTAGGTTGCTCATCGGTGTTCGGGCGGAGTAAGCTCCAGTTCATCATCCGTACTGTTTCCCGCGCGCGCTTTGACTCAGGGGCGGGATCATGTTGCAAAGCTGTTGAATCGTGTGGCACTTTGTTCCTTGGCTAAAAGAGCTGTCGTTTCCGCTGGGGAATTTTCCTTTTGTCAATATCTCATGGCGCCATGTTATGACCATTGTCAAAACAGAGTCATCGCATTGAAGGACGTTCTCTAACATGCACAGCCCAGCCAAGAGTCTCGAAGAGCCTCACAGAGTCTGAAGTTGGCACGGAAATCTGATCTCCACGGAGTACGAGACCGGTCATGTCGAGCCGAAAGCCCCTCACCCGCTGATCACACCTACTACTGCATCGCAATAGAAAGCCAAGAGTTTGCTGACTCCTTAGCTTCGCCATCTCGTTTTCAAAACTTGAGTCCAACTCTCAGCATGCACATATTGCCGTTGAATTGATGCGACTCTGAGCTCGGAAGTCACTGTAGCCGATGCGAGCTATCCAAGAAGTCCGGTCGGCAATAATTACTGGCGCAAGCCGGCGAGCGCTTACGTTGGTCGCCGGCGGGAGGTCGCAATCGACCATGCGGGGAAATTCCAGCCTACAATTGACTCGCGCTCGCGTTCGCTTCAACATGCACATCAATTTTGACCGCCAATTCAATCGGTGGTATTCTACGGTAGACAGTGTCAACGCCAACTGCAGACATGCCAATCCAGTTTGCTGTACGGCGCGGGATCTTTGTATACTCTAGGTAGTATTATACGCTGCTGCCTATCGCATGTAGAGACGAGTTCAGAATTTCTTGAATGTAGGGGCCCTTACCATCCGTTTTGAACTGTGTTTCCTCGGCCTTAAGCACGACTATCGATGACAAGCTTTTTCATTTTGAGCCTTAGCGTAACTCAGGTCTTAACAACACGCACTCAGAAGACAGTCGAAATCATGGCATTAGCAGCAGTATCAACGACAGCTTTTCGTTGAAGCATTTAGAACTGCTCTTCAAGGGCTCAGAACCAGTTCAATCATCAATACAGGCCGATCAACTAGGTATAACGATGACCAACAACTTCTGGAGCTCTAATATTGTTTCGTTGTCTCGTCCATCGCTCGGTATAGTAACAGGATGAGCAAGACGTTAGACTTGGCCTCGACAGCAGCTTTAATTGGATTGCCATTGCTTTAGGCGACTGCTGTCTGTCTTCATGTTAGCATCCGGTCGGCCCGTTCACCTACGCTAGACTCACCAACGCACGACAAATAAATTGATACTATCGTGATCAATAGAGAAACTTCTGATTGAACGATTTCCAAAAATCCCTAAGCTCTGAGGGATGCTTACTTCTACAGCAGGCAATATCCCATCGACTGGTGCAAGGCGACAGTACAATGGTCTCCAGCTTTTCTCCAAATTCTCTGAGATATGAATTTTTTAATTTGCGGATATAGTAGAAATAAATCGGAATAACGCCTGATTAGTTCTTCCCCCGCACTCGGATGTACTGTCGCCTTGCAGCAGTCGATGGGATAGCTGTTCTCGAATCAAGTTGCAGTAAGGCCCTGAGAATAAATAGCTACAGGTACCAACATGCTTCTAATCAAAGGAACAAATTTCGGGGTTGAATGAATAGGGAATCATGAGCGTGAACACATGAATTGATCGTGGGGAAGTAAGGTATCGAGCGATACGACTTGAATGGCGTCATACGGGACATGCGTTGGGCACTCATGTGGCGGTGGAGAAGGGAGTTTGAACTTAATCAAGGCAGGTGAACAACACACAAGTGAAGGAGTGGCCTCAATTCTTTGGTACAAGTGTGATTAGTATGAATTAGAAGCTATCAGTCGGTTCTTAAATTGAAGACAATATTTCAGCTGCCTTACCATAGACAAGTCTTGCATGTGCAGCAGTCATCTTTACTTGAGGTACCTACTCACCTACCTTGCCTGACACATATGTAGATGCGATTTTTCGATTTTGTCAGCGGGAGCCGCTGGTAATCGCAGCTTGAGCGTGTAGAGTTTTGTATTTTAAATCTCAGGGAGAGTACGTTTGTCTCAATATGTGTGGATATTTTCCGCAAGGCTGGATACTTCAACCGAGCTTTCCAAACCTCAAAAAACGCCTTTTTGGTCAAGTACTAATCTTAACTCGGATATTGCTTATACCACCCAAGACAATTAAATTGTCTCGAATCGCGTGATCGGCGGCCCGCCGGTCCTTTCTTGAGAACGAGTTCCAACGCGCAATCAAGAGCCGACTAGACTGGACAAATTGGGTACTTGTTTTTCTGTATCGGGCATAACGGATTAGGCACTGATCATATGAAAATTTCTCTTGTCTAATAGGTCCCTGAATAGACACGCATCGAGATCGTGGAGGGAAAGGCTAGTGGACTGGCTACAAGCTTCAAAGTTGGAACGAAAACATTTCCTGGGCTATTGAGACAAGCGGGGAGTAGGGTAGCAACGATTCAATAGCATTCAATGGCATTTCGCTCAGCAGACAATGACTGAAGCACATTCCATTTCCGTCAAAAATTGTAGTCAAGTCTCATTATCTTGGTGCTGGTCTTCTTGAGGCATATCTCCTTCCCGAACCTCCTCAGTCTGTTTAGTTGGGCCACGATATGTACCATGGTGCTCCTTAGAGATGCTTGCTATCTTAAAACATACGATTTCAAAAGCTAAGAAGTGAAGTCAACAATAAGGTAGTTAGGCTTCATAAGAACCTTCACCTCGTCCTACCCATCGACGCTTCGTCGCAGGGGTCTAGCGCTTCTTCGCTGAAGAATGTGATTCGACCACTCGCACTCTCTCTGTAACTCCACAGTTCGAACCCCGCGGCCCGGACCAGGCAACGGGCGACTAGGGTTCGAATCCGACAGCTCGGTCCAAGGTCTGCTGTAGGCAGTATTGTCCGGTAAACACTCAAGACTCGGGGTCTAGACCATCAGGCTCTAGCCAAGTATCATGGCCATCTACGCCGTCATAAATAAGCGACACACGCTCCGTCAGGCTCTTTGATCCCAACTCTTCTCTTCGTTCTCCAGTCCCTGTTCTTCAAGATCTCAACCTCCCGCTGACAACAAGTTACTGGCTGGCGTATCATTCGATCAGGTCTTTCCCGACTATGGAGCCTCCCAGCAAATATGTCGCGCTGGTCTTCGGGGCTAGTGGGATCTCCGGATGGGCCGTCACAAACAATCTGTTCATTTATCCCACAGCATCCACATTTTGCCGCATTATTGGTCTAACAAACCGACCGATGGACCTGCCAGGAAGCCAGCTTCCCAAGAATGATCCTCGTTTGGAGATCTACTCTGGCATCAACTTACGTGAGGACATCGAGACTATCAAGGAGCAAATGAAAATCAAGATCCCCAACATGCAGGACATCACGCATGTGTACTACTGTGGTCAGTATTGCAGCCGTTGACGAGATATGGTATGTGAACTGAGACGGAAAGAGCCTACTCAAATGCGACAGCATATTCAGTCGACGTCATGGAGATTCGTAATATCAACGTCACCATGACTCGAAACGCTGTCAAGGCGGTTGATGAGATCTGCTCAAGTCTGAAATTTCTGAGTTTGCAGACTGGCACCAACGTTAGTAATCTGCCATCTGCTACTCTGCTGTGTTCATTGTATGCCACTACCTTACTTACGATACTGAAATAGAGCTACGGAGTGGCTGTCTTCCAACATCAGGACAAGATTGAGATACATCCTCCATTGAAAGAGTCTCAGCCGCGAATTCCGTCTCCATACGGAGATGAAATCTTCTACTACGGGCAAGTAGATGCTATCGAGGAGTTACAGAAGGGCAAGTCCTGGAGATGGTGTGAAGTTCGCCCCGATGCAATCGTCGGCTTCGTTCCTGGTACGACTTCAATCATGACGTTTCTTGAGCCGATCGCTCTTTTCCTTGCGCTCTGGCGTTATGTCCATGGGCCCGGAGCCGAAATCAAGTTCATTGGTACAGCTACGAACTACACCCACACCAACACAGACTCATCGCAGGATATTATTGCAAAGTCTCATATTTATTTATCGACCGTGAAGCCAGAAGAATCGAACGGGGAAGCTTTCAATACTGCTGATAATGCAACTCCAGTTTCCTGGGTGGAGCGATGGCCTGTCATGGTCGATTATTTCGGGCTGCAGGGAACGCCTCCAGTTGAGGGAGCACAGAGTGAGTCTCTATACCGCTGCCATTCCTCTTTGATATATCTTAAAATATTTTTCAGCAACGTTTCCCGTCGAAAAGTGGTGGGAAGAACACCAAGATGACTACAACAGGATGTGTGCCGAGTATGGCTTGAAGCACCGTGATATACCAGCTGCGTCTTGGATATTCACGATGGGGGTCGGTTTTTCTCTCTTACAGAGAAATCGGGCAATGTGTCTGGATAAGATCCGGTCTGTTGGGTTTAGGGAAGAGTTGGGCATGACCGAAGGCTATCTCATCGCCTTTGATCGCATGGTTGCTGCTAACATTCTTCCCCCGCGGAAATTGATGTAGACTTGGTAGGTTCAAGACCGCCACCAACTGGTGACCTTCGCCTACTATGGTACAACATTAGACACCTGCTGGTTATTCAGTGGTAATGACAGTACAGTGGAACTCTGAAATCTCCAGTGAAGCGCTTGGCGTCGCAGAAGATACGCCGGCTGAATGTAACCCTGTTTTGTGCACACGCAGAGCTGCATGAGCTCCAACCTCCTGTATCATTCACTACGAATGGAGCCCAAGTCTATATGTGTGCAGCGGGGCTTCCTGGTAAACCCCTCATAAGTCAGCTGCTCATTTTCTCATTTCGACCTTCATCGGAACATGTTGACGCCCAGAAGCCCTCGACCATGTCTCTTTGTCAAGATTGCCGTCAGCTTGATCTTGCTGACCTAGTTGATGAGGAATACGAAGTTCAAGACATTATTCTTCATTCTTCAATCGCTGATCTCGAGAGAAATGTTTCTGCGTGCGATTTGTGTCAACTCTTCCACACATCTATCACCGAAAAGCTCCGGGTCGAGGGAGTTAGTGTTGACCAAGAGGCTTGGTATGACACAGACTCGCCGGTTATCTTGCGGGGCACTCAGTACAAAGATGAGAAGTACGAGTCTCGGGGACTCTTTTGGGTCAAGGTCCGCTGCGATCGCCTGAGCCCGAGGGCATACTGCTATTTCAGCTTCTATCCCAAAGACGAGACGACCCGGCTAGAGAACTCCATCCTAGGCAGACCCATCAAACCTCCCGCTAAGCAACTCAGTCTTGTGAAAGACTGGGTGCGCGAGTGTGAAGACCGCCACCAGAGTTGCCATTCAGCCCCTGCTACTCTGCCCACACGAGTTGTAGATGTTGGTGTCGAAGGAGTGAGGGAGCCTCGGCTCGTTGTGACGAGTGGAGAAGTCGGCCGATACATGACATTAAGTCACTGTTGGGGCTTACATCCTGTTATTCGCACCACTAGCGAGACAATCAATGGCCACATCAAGTCGCTGCCAATGTCCAAGTTACCTCCGACGTTCAGAAACGCAGTCTTGATAACGAGGTCACTTGGCGTTCAGTATCTATGGATCGACTCCCTCTGCATCGTACAGGACTCAAAAGAGGACTGGGAACTCGAGAGTGTGAAGATGGGCACTATCTACGCCTCTTCATGTCTGACTATCGCTGCCTCAGCGTCCGCAGACTCCACAGGGGGTTGCTTCTTACCGCGTTCAACTTCAAATCACGTTCAAGTTAAGTGTACTCGGAAGACGAACGATGAATCGGTGTCTATTCCCGTATTCTTACGACCTAGACCTCGTGACTTCAGTCACCTACCACAAAGCATCCTACATTCACGTGCGTGGGTAACGCAAGAGCGCCTGCTATCTGCCCGAATGGTACACTACGACTCTGATCAACTTCTTTGGGAATGTCGTGAATCTCGTCTGGCAGAAGATGGGGTACCGACGGATGCATTCGCAGTGCAAAAGTTAGTGTGGGACGAACGACTTCACCTTTCATACCCTTTTGCGCAAGGACGTCTATCTACATCAGAATTCGTGTGGGACTGGTACGATATGGTATCGGCATATAGTAGAAGAGGCATCACCAAGTCCTACGATCGGCTACCAGCGCTTTCCGGTCTCGCCAAGGTGATGGAGGAATGCACCGGGCAGCGATACCTTGCCGGGTTGTGGAAGTACCACCTGCATTATGGGTTGCTTTGGAGGAGAAGCGAGAATTGGCTTGAAACCCCGTTAGATGGCTTTCGCGCCCCAAGTTGGAGTTGGGCGTCTTTGGAAGGCGCTGTCATGATGCCCGAGATCGGAAACATTCTGCCCTCGGGAAACGAGATGGAGGTGGTGGTGAGGATTACTCAAGCAGAGACAACGCCACTCGGCTTGGACCCGAGGGGTATGTTGAAATCGGGATATCTGCAGCTAGAAGGAAAGCTCAGACTAGCCGATCCAAGAGAAAACCCAGAATCCCCGGGTTATCAGAGGTTCTCGACCTATCGGAAAGAGTTAGCAATTGATTTGCTCAAGGAGAATGGGATCATGGTCGGATTAGCAGTGTTCGACAAGGATTACTGCGGAAGTAACATCCCTCTCTACTACTTACAGGTGTCGAGAAGAGTCAAAGAACCAAGCCGTTGGTACGGGCTCCTGCTAGAGGCAACAAGCCAGCCGCAAGAGTTCCGTCGTGTTGGCTTCTGCCGCACGGAAGAATATCCACTTCGAGACTGGTTCGCGCATGTCGCTGAAGAGATGATCACGATAGTTTGAGTATTTGTTTCAGCCTCCATACTTGGGGGGGGACCACATCCAGTCTCCAGTCAATACTGATTCCAAGAAATTATTATACGCTTCTCAGACACCTGACCTTAATGTGAATAACAAATGTCTTTGACCGGAATCAGGTACCGTGGGTACCGCTGGTCACAGCATATATCATTGTGCCGAATTCGTCTAGGTCCTCCAGCCATGCTTTTACTCTTGAACGCCTGTGGATAACTTCAGTCTCGCTGAAATTTCCAGGCACAGGCCATAATTCGTCGATAGCCAGCCAACTATCTGGCCATTCTGCTTGCTGAAGGTCATATACACCTCTCCAGTCGCGCCTCGTTCGAGTCTCCCACAACGCCTTGGACGCCGGCGCTGATAACCCGCGTAACTCGGTGGCAAGATGAGTTGAGAGGCCGTCATGTGTCAGCAGGGCGCTATCGAAGAGGCACATCGTGAACAGAGTTCTTCGTTTAGCCTCGGCGGCAATCCAGCACTCCCACCTGGGACGGGGCTCATCTCCGGAAACGCACGTGAGTCCTTTCTTCGCCACCGCACATGCGAGGTCTTGGGTACTCATCATGGCCTCCCGTAGAAATGGGTGATAAGCTTTCCCGAATTTGAAAAAGATGACCATGGCGTAAATAAGATGCGTTTGAAATGCTGCGAGAAGTGCCATATCATCGTAGGAGGCGTGTTGGCTGTAAAGCCTCGCCATCTCTACCTTGAGTTCGTTGGCTACGGCCTCGGCGCCTGCCACATCGGGCCCACCAAAGCTTCGAATGGCCCTAAGACAATTTGACAAGGGTTGGCTGGATGGCAGAGTTATCTGGGACCAATGTACAAAAGGAGGAACCTTGCGCCCGCGGATGGAACAATCTACGTAGGATTCCAGAATCCTCTTGATGAAAGCCGATATACTCGGCGAGTAGTTCTTTGCCAATTGTCCCGGTATTGGGACGAAGTTATTCAGCCATCGATTGGCAATGTCATCAGCGTTGATGGTGCAGACAAGGCCCATGTCCGAGAAGTCGAACACCTCAGGCTTGAGGACGTCTGATCGATTAGTGTCTGTGGCTAGCAGTTCGCCCGCCCGAAAGGAAGCGCTCGTCTCGTTTGACGGAATGATTCGAAACGGCGAGATCCCCGCGTTCGCTTCCACAGTCGCGGATATCGTGGTTGCTACGCGGTCCGTATCGACCTCGGCTTCAGCCTCTGAATGCAGACCGGCAGCACCCGGCGCGGATGAAGGGATCGTCCGAGTCTGTGGATAGAGACATGGGAGGCCCCGCTGGTGGCACCGGGAACATGTCACAGCTTTCCGGTCACATTTGGCTTTGGCGGTCGCGCATGGCTGGCATGCCTTTTGTCGTGAGGTCGAATACCTGGCGGGCCGCATTGCTAGGCCAGCACGGCTGTAGTAAATGATCGCGTGAGTTTGGAGAATTTGAGCATCTTAGACCCGGTGGGATAAGCCGGTTTCGCAACGAGAGCCGCGCCAAGTGAGTTGAAGTTGCATCTAGAACACGAATCTGCATGGACACCTTGGAGAGTTGGAGACGAGCGAACTTTCCCGCAAGTCCAAGCGAGGCGGGGAAAATGAGCTTTACGTAATTGAGAGACGACGGTGTCAGTTCATGTACTAAATGTTATGGGGCTTGGAATAGGCGCTGTAATGACACCGTAGATCGAAAACTGAGTAAGTAGAATAAGCAAAAATGATATTCGGCTCTGGGTATGATTTGAACACACGACCTGCAGGACCGCGGTGAACGGCACCTGCCGCTCTCCCTGCTGAGCTACCAGAAAGTTATGGTGGCAATCATGTCCGTCAAAGAACGAGCGAGCGAGCGACTTGATGCAGTCAGATGGAAGGACGCAGCGTAGTTCCAGGGATTGTGTCGGTTGCATTGGCTCTAATGGGAGCACAAGCTGGCCGGGGTTAACGTATCTGGATATGAGTCAACAGCTGTAAGCAAGCAGTGTTTCGCTGATGTAGCCTATATCTCTGAGTCCAAGTGGTTGAGCTTAGTTAAACATTACCAAGTTGGAGCAAGTTGTTCAACGAAGCCCAGACGTCAAGAAAGAATGATAGTCGCACGTTTGACAGAATGTTATAGTCATTGAAACATCAAATAATTATCGTTATGCTACCAGCAACTTTTACCACATCTTTTCCCAGGTTCTCCTAACGAAAGACATCTCAGCCAGTCTCGCTCTCTCCACCTCCTCGATGCCACCCTCCTCCCAATGACGGCACTCGGCATCAACCTCTGCCTTTCCGCTGATGAGATCTGCCTCCTTGGGGTGAACGAAGCGGGTCCTCTTCAGAACCTTCCAGATGAGAAAGGTGACGACACCAAAGATGAGGCCAAAGTAGGAGGTGATGAAGCCTCTCACGCTGAAGGGATAGAAGTTGTCAAAACCGACAAAGATGAGAGCCAGGATGCCCAAAAGCAGAGCCAGACCGGGGAAGTACGGGGTCCAGGGAGACAGGTAGGGGAGCGTCTCGGGAGGGAAGTTCTGGGCCATGCGGGCGCGGTAGAAGCCCATGTAGGTGATGAGCATGAAGGTGTAGGTCATGATCAGGGCGGTGGTGGTCAAGTCGACGAACCAGAAGAAGACATCGACGGCGCTGTTTGACGAGACAAGGAAGGTGATGCAGGAGATGACAGTGACGACAAGGACGGAGTAGATAGGAACACCGGCCTTGGTGCACTTGAGGAGGAACTTGGGGGCCTGTCCGTCGCGAGCGAGACCATATAGAGTGCGGGAAGTCGAGTAGAGGTAAGCGTTACCGCAGGACCTTGAAAGCTGTTAGCATGATTCGAGAGTAAGCATCACGTACCAAGGGTACTCACCATCCAGAGAGGAGAATGAAGGCATTGATGATATCGGGAAGAGCCTTGATGTGGAGGTTCTTGATACCAACGACCCAAGGGGAAGCACCAGCACCGGGCTCGCCGCTCTCAATGGCGCCGAGCAAGCCAGGGTCGCGGGAGCTGCAGATGATGCCGACGCACAGAACACCGACAACGTAGAAACCGACAAGGCGGTAGAAGATGAGCTTGGCGACGCGGGGGATGGTGCGGCGGGGGTTTTGGATCTCACCAGCGGCGAGGGCGATCATGTCGGGACCGGCAATGGTGAAGGCAGCGTAGATGACAACCTTCCAGAATCCCAAGAACCTCCCTGTCGACCCGTCGGTGAAGTAGGCGTGGATGTAGTTGCCGTCGCCCCAGTTACGGAATCCATAGGCGTCGTTCATAGGGTTGCCGCCGGACATGGTGATGAGGGTGATAAGGCACAGGCCGATCAGCAGTATGACCTTTGTCGAAGCCATGATGAACTCGGATTCTCCGTAGTACTTGACTGCAACCAAGTTGACCGCCACACAGGAGACCATGGCCACGGCAATCCAGGCAGCCGGGTTGATATCCGCGTTCCAGTATTGAATGACCGTTGCGACAGCGCTGTATTCCGTACAAACCAACATGAGACCGGCGAAGAAGTAAGTCCATCCCATGGCGAAACCGAGAGCAGGGTCAACAAAGCGAGAGGCGAGTTCGAAGATGGTACCGCGAATGGGCAGGTAGGCGCACATTTCGGCGACAGACAAGTTGAGCGGCCAGATGAAGAGGAGACCCCAGAAAGTGTAACCGAGAACGAGACTGAGAGGGCCGGCCTTGGACAAGACACCGCCAATACCGACCTGTCAAGACGGATTAGAATCTCGAGATAGCTGAGCTGCGAATCGCAAACATCGTAAGGCTGTGAGAAGACCTACCCAAAGACCGGTACCAATAGAACCTCCGATAGCCATCAGCTGGACATGGCGAGGGCTGAGACCACGCTGGGTCTCGCCATACTGTTGAGCAACAGCAGCATTGGTGCCAGACATGACAGTCCCGAGCTTGTTGCTGTTGGTGCTGTCGGCACGGCTGAGGCCGACAGTCTTTTCTTCCATCCCTGAAGCCATGTTGGGCGGGTGACGGTAAGATCTGTTTTTTTTCTTCGGTGATCCGACGTCCGACTGTCTAAAAACACAAGTCGTCTAGGTATAGGTAATTGATGGCTGAGGTCGGGTATTACCACTCGCAGAGACGCCGAGCAGATCGAATGGGATGCGACTGAAACACAACTCAACAACCTGGACGAGTGAGGAGGGCAGTTATTCTATATAGATGAGTTGGTTGTGTGCCCCTGGCCCGACGCTACCTTGCGTCCGGCGGCCCCCCTTCCCCTCCATGGTTAGCTTGCTAATCTTCATCTGACGTCTCCCGGTTCCTGGGAGAGAGACAAGCCAATACGGAGCGTTACGGAGGTATTACCACTGGGTATGTGTGTAAGTATGCGACTTACTCGGGTCGTGATAGACAAGACCAACGGACGGGCCCAAGTGCCCCATCTAATAGGAGCCCCGCAGAGATAAGCAAACCGCGCCAGGGGATGGTTGGCAACTGGCTGGGGCGATCAGAAATGTGGGCGCGGGGGGAGGAGACTTGAGGAGAGCGAGGAGAAAGCATCCCTGCTTGGGGGTAAGGGAGGCAACGTCAGAACGGGCGATACCGACGACAACGGAGAGAAAGTCACCTCGTTGAGGGTATCTTGACGCGTTTCTTTGATCCATTCCCGATGAAGATGCCCCCATTCCCACGTTTACGATTAGCCGTCCAAGGGTTCCACTGGCGTACACATCCGAATTCCGCGCCTGGTCGAAGCATTGCAGCAACAGGCCAACGGCAGGCCATGAGCTGAGAATCACCTCAAGCATTGGGGTAAGAGGAAATCTGAATGTGATGCCGACGATAGCCACTGATCCGAAAGAGGAGACTTGGTGGAACAGATGGTACTGGGTAGAACAAGGGGCCCAGAAAATCCCCGGCAGTCGTCGATTGGGCGGCCCACGCATCAAGCATTTGCTGAGACTTTTCACGCCTTTCGCTCCCTTCAGTTCTTCCTGGTTGGCGTCGGGCTGACGTGTGCTCCAGGTTCTGAGCTTGTCTCCAAGTCTCTCCAGAATCCAAGGCCTCAAGCCGCAAGCCTTTGGTCTTGAGCCAGACCATTTCCTAATGTCTTGGCAATGGGTCGAGCGACATCCGACGTCGGATTCAGCCATGAGAACCAGGAAGAAGCCCCCCCATTATCCGATAGGCGTCGAGTTGATGGTTGGCTGAAGCACCTAAAAGACCGAAAAGACCCTTGGAGAAGCGCGGGTGAGAGGCGAAAACTTGGGGCTTAGCTCCAATTACTGCCGACAAACGACCGCGTTCTGACAAGACTGACGGCTCTGTACTGCTTGTGTCTGCCGGCGGCCACGCCGAAAAGGTGTGTTGCTTCCTCGAGGAACGCGGCAGCAGAAGCCCTGGAGGCCCTGCTTAGCTCCGGGCTGGCATGTCCATGTTCCGTACCTTTCCCATCAAACAAGGAGCATGGCGGGATTATTTGCGGTGCCATTGCAGGAGAAGATGCACAGAAAGCGGGTAGAACCCCGACAAAGAACCCAGCCCCGGGTCCAAGACGCCCAACCTGAACGCAGGCACGCAGGCTACACAGCGCGGTCTGGCATCGTCCCAATCACGGCTTGCGGGAACGTTCGGGGCCTGACTCGCTCGTCTGCAGAGTGCAGAGTGCAGAGTGCAGACAGCAGGATTCGGAATCCCGTACCTAGTTTGTCTGTAGGGCGCGCGTTTGTCTAGGTTTGGCCGGCCTTGGTCCCAGTAAATTGTCTTGGCTTTCTCAAAGTCTCAACTCTACGCCGTACGGTCTGTGTATTCGTGCCGGTAACCCATCACCAGAACGCGGCGTTCGAGACGAGGCAGAGAGACCTGATAGTAATTAGATGACAGTGGAGTGGTGTCAGGCACTAACGCATCCCCGTCTTGTCGTCCGGGGAAATTCACTATCACCGCGCGAACCCTCTTTTTCAAAGTGTTTTATTACGTACATTTGGTTGTATTAAATGGGTCGATGCGCCCCAAGATAGGATCCAGACCGAGAGGGGCGCCGACGCTTGACCGATCAAACTGGGACCAATTCGGCTTAAGGGAAGATAATGACAGACCGGTATGCTGTTTGCAAAATACATGATCAAGACCGGGAGCAATAAAACACGGGGAAGTGGCTCGCATGCGTGGGGTTTCTGAGATGCGGCGATGTGGTGCCCTCCATTGCGTGAAGTGCTCGCAATGTGCCCACCGAGACAGGTACAAGTTTGGTACAAGTTTTTGCCATTGCAATATCAATATGAACAGTAGGTCATGGAGGAGCTTCGTTATATGCTTCTTCACCCTTCAAGGGCGCGGGTTTGACAACGCAACAGCCAGGGGATCTAATCGGATCGCCCAAAAGCGCATTCCCGGCTGTAAGGTCAATACAGCGGCCGGCGCAGAGCCAGGCCCGGTCCCAAACTCTCGGGGCGGCGCCATCTGAAAGTGAGACTAGGTATGAGAGAGCCTAAGAATGGGAAGTGTGGTGGTGTGAGCCGGGAACACGTCCCGGTCCTCTTCAGCCGAAGAACCGGCTACGTCCCGGCCGCCATCCTGCAACGCCCGCCCCTTTGATCAATATTCGCCATAATTATTCACGTCGTACACTCACAGTCTGCAGTCTGCAGTCTGCAGTCTGCAGTCTGCAGACCGCAGATACAATTGCATACAAAATCAAATGTGGTAAGATGAAGGGCTAAAACAAAGTATCGGGTCTTGACGGCGGATCCCGCCAAGCCCATGAAGATGCATGAAATCTCGCAAAGTTTCGTCTACCAGTTGTTCCTGTCCTCAATCGCGGTCCGAAAGTCAGTCGTACTGGATATTGACAGGTCTTCCTTCATTCCTCGATCCTGAACTCGATCGTCATCTACACGCGTAATATGTGCTTTCTAGCGTCACGTTGAAGGGGCGGCCTTCCCATTCTCTCTGTCCCACCCTCACACACTCTCTCTTCCTCTATCATCCAGTCCTCCGTCGACGAGTCGCCCGATTGCAGGGTATCACGGTAAGAAAAACAGCAATCTAGACTTCCGCCGCGGTGACTGTAACTGTGATGGTTCCCTCACTCATCCCCTTGGAGGTCACAGTCTCGACGATGGTCTCCGGTTCCTCGTCGTCCTCATCCTCTTCCTCCACAATCTCTCTACCCGAGGAGTCTACCTGTCGCCGATCGCCGCGCCGCCATCGCCCCTTCAACCAACGCCGTCAGCTCTTGCTGCCGTTCTTACTGCCGTTCACCACCGTCTTTGGCGGTCCTGCAGTCGCGCGAGGAGTGCGATCGCCGCTGCCTCGGGTGCCATTTGTAGGAATATAGAAATCGTAGCGGCTCGGGAAGAGAATGATGTTTGCCAGCCGCAGGATTTCCGTCTCCGCTTCCGTCTTTGTCTTGTTCCTGATGCCCTCCTCATCATCAATATCCATGGCATCCGCATGCTTGGGCGGGATGACACCCGCTGGTTCGACATCGTAGGGTGCCAATCCCATTGCGCGGAGGCCGTCGACTCCGCCGTACTCCTCGACCTCCTTGGCACCGGGACGATCCTGATGCGAGGCTTCGCTTCCCAGCCCACCCAGCGTGTCAAAGTCCGGTCCCGGTTGACCGGTCTGGAATGCCTTTCTCTGGCGAGCGAGGAACAGGGCATTTGTCTGCGTTAGGGGGCAAACGGGGGTGTACGTGAGCAGGGAAAGCTCATTTGACTCGTTTTGCAACGACGGCGGGACGCCTAACCTGGTGCCGCCCGTGATGATGGAGTAGGCCTGGTCGCAATGCCAGATGACGTAGTCACCGGCCTGTAGGCTAGGCATAGAGACCAGACTCCTGCGCAGATGCAGATGCGGGTGCCAGCGTTCCGTGAGACGCTGAGCATGACCCGGGACGGCTCCGTGGATAATGGTATTTGGCTCCAGGTCAAGCGTCCAGTTGGACGCATCAAGATACGCAGCCCACTGGTCCGCCTTGCCGCCATCCGGCTGCTCTGGCGGCCCACGCTTCGGCGAGAAGAACGGCCGCAAGAGGAAGTACGCAGCCACCAGCTTGGGCGACGGCAACACGCGCACCATGCCCTGCTCAACCTCGGTGAGCGCGAGAATACCCTGGAACATGCGGAAGATGCTGCAGGCGCCCGCGCCGTTGTACAGATCCGTCGTGGCACCGACTCGACCGGCCGGATCCCAGGGATCGTAGGACTCCCAGTCGCCGCGGAAGACGGCCTCGTAGGTGCCGCCACGGCCGTAACCGTCCGGTTCCCAGCGTTCTAGACTGCCGCTGTCGATTTGCGCGATAACGGTAGATGAGGCAGTGGTGCTAAGAGAGTCTGCGGCCGAGTTTCCGGTGGGTTGACCGACGGCGCCGAGCTTGTCGTTGTGAATACGAAGACGATCGGCATAGCTCACAGGTGCCCGGGTGATGTGCACGTCGTCTGTCGATTCCCAAAAGGACATTGCGAACTTTTGCGCGCGCAGCATGTTGGGATGCGCGCGGGCACGCACCTGAACGGGCGTCCAGAAGAGATCAATGCAAGTAGGGTCGTGAAGAGCGGGTGGCTTGAACTCGCGGTTCTTGTCGAGATACTCGTGAGTTTCGTGCACCCATTTCTGAGCATCGTTGGGCGGCACAACGCCGCGTATGACAGCTACACCATACCGGCGCAGCCTGTGCGCAAAGGCTTCGACGCGGACAGGGTCATTGATGTCGGTGAAGTTGATGGACGGGATCAGCTCCGATCCACGAGTGGAGATATCTGTAATCTCGGTCCTCAGAGCATTGATGAGACGGTGCCACGAAGCCTCAAAGGCAGCTTCGTGGCCGGCGATGAGCCGCTTCTTGACGCCAGCGAAGCGCGATGGCAACGGGATGGGCTCGGCCCCGTAAAAAGAGACGACGGGGGGCTCCATACTTTTGGGGAAGACCTTGCGGCTTGCAGCGGCTGCAGCAGCGGCGGCACCGGCCACTGCAGCAGTGGGAGTCGAGGTGGGCGAGCGCGTCGTC